GGTGAAATGGAACCACATATGGATATTAAAGCAGAACAGGAGAAAGACCAAAATTTGAAGCCAATAATTGATTTTCTAAAAGCAAGTGTTTTGCGCCCTGCTTGGGAGAAGATGTCTAGCTTAAGCCTTGTGACAAAGAACTATTGGGTACTATGGTATTCTTGTCCGGAGATGGGAAACTGCAGATGGGAAAGTGACGACCTGGCAAACTGTTATACCAAGAAAGTTACGGGAAGTTGTGCTGCATCAATCCCATGATAGTTTAACAGGAGGACATGCAGTACATGTTGTGCTAAAACGGGACCCAAGCATAAGGGACGTGCTCCAATGAAGTTATATCAAGTTGGTGCACCAATGGAAAGAGTAGCCATTGACATTGCTGGTCCATTGCCCCGAATTCGTGCTGGAAACAGGTACATTTGTGTGGTGATTTCACCAAGTGGCCTGAGGCATATGCAATACCAAATCAGGAAGCTACAACTGTAGCTTCGGCCATTAGTGATTTCTTCTTCAGATTTGGTATGTCATACGAACTGCATTCGGATCAAGGCCGTAACTTTGAATCAGCGTGTTTCATGAATGCTGCAAGTTGTTTGGCATACGAAATACCAGAACAGTGCCACTTCTCCCACAGTCTGATGGTAGAAAAGTACAATTGGACACTTAGACAGGAATTGGCAAAGTTTTGTAATAGCCGCCAAGATGACTAGAATGTCTTACTCCCTCCACTGTTGATGGCCTGTAGAACAGCAGAGCATGAAGCCACTGGATACACTCCAGCAAAGCTGGTGTTTGGTCGGGAACTTCGGTTGCCAATGGACCTGATAACAGGACGCCCACCTTACGAAGAGTTGCCTGATAATGTGTCAGAGTTCGTGAAAATGTTATCTGAAAGGATGGATGATATTCACCACCAAGTGCATTCAAACTTGAAAACGTCTGCTGATTCCATGAAGCTATGTTATGATAAGAGATCTACTGAAATCAGCTTTGAACCAGGAGACAAGGTGTGGTTGTCTAATCCCAAAAAGACCAAAGGGAAGTCTCCTAAGTTGTCTTCTCCATGGGAAGGCCCATATGACATAGTGGATCGTCTCTCAGATGTGACTTTCCGAATAAAATATGGTCAGCGAGGTAAACCAAAGGTGGCGCATGCCAACAGGCTTTGACGTTATCATGGTTCAGGACATTTCAGTTGGAATGAAGGGAACAACAGAACAAATGACGCTGCTGAAGAAATGCCACCTGAAAAAGCCACTGTCGAAGAAACTCTACAAATGTCCTATCATCGGTAACAGTCACATCAGTAGTAGTAACTTCATCAAGGGCTTCACTGTTTCCCTTCTCTAGCGTCACATGACTTCCACTGTCGTAACACTGCCCCTTCCTTAGTATTGTTCGTTCCGAACAATAGCCACTTACATTAAACCAATAAACAATTAACAATAGCTTAATTAAATGTACAGAAATTACAAACACAAAATTAAAATTCAACAAAGTCTCTTAATTTTACGGGACGTATCTTCTTCCGTACTGGTCTCCGTCTTGTTGGCTTCTGCTTCACGTGGGGTTCATCTGCTTCATCACGTAACACGTCATGAGTTTCTAGAAGAATCAGAGAACATCACGAATATCCTAGTATTTGCTAGACGCCCTCTATTTTTGTATATAAGCCCGGCAAATAAAGCGGAGATAATAATAGCAGACAGGGAGATATAGAGACATATAATCTAGTCAAGCCGTAAGAAAAGTGCGTGAATCGTTGTGAATTATAGCGTGTGTTTAAGTTAAAGTGACTGTGGAATTAAGTGTATTGCAAAGTTGTATTGAGAAACAATAAACTAGTTTTATTTAAGAAACGACTTGTATCTCTGAACTTCTTCGGAAATAAGTTTTACGTGAAATTAACAAACGACCAGAGACATAACAATGTCAACACAATCTTAGCACTTCTCCCGTGGAGTACTTCCCCCCAAAAATCTATTTTTTTTTTATAGAATTTGTTCACTTATTCTAGATTTTTTCAATGAGGTATGAATACAACGATTAGTAATTACTAACATAAACAGCCGCTCGTAGGGCAGTGTTTCTGCTAATTAGATATAATTAAAAGCCTAATCATTGTGAATTTTCGAAAATCTTAACTTGTAATGAAAAGTCAGTACTTTTCGATGACATTTGAGCTACGGATTAAATGAAAAACAATGCAATGCAAAGAACATTCCAATGTGAAATTTAGTGTAAAAGTTTAAAAGCACGGCAAATAACAATACAATATGAAGTTTCTTGTTAGTGTTGCCACCCTCCTCCCCAGTGGCACAGCGGTATGTCTGCAGACTTACAACGCTAGAAACCGGGTTTCGATACCCATGGTGAGTAGATCACAGATAGCCCATTGGGTAGTTTTGTGCTTAACTTCAAACAAACTTGTCAGTGTTACCGAGGGGCAGTTTTGCGTTCAGTAATTATATCTATAACTGAGTTGCCTGCCGCATCATTCAGTAAAATTTATAATTCGTTTATTATTTTTTAAAAACCTTAATGTTCAAATTGATTGGTAGGGGAAGTAGCTGGCTGAGCGTTTCACGCTACGCAGCTATATATATATATTAATTTTATTATATATCTATGTATTTATCGTGATCAATCAGTAATATCTTTCGTATATTATTTACTGTTCAACTTTTGTAATCCAGACTCTGGTAGATGACGTAAAATCATCCGATCTAATAAACCTTTCTGATTGGTTGTCATCGCGTGGTCATAGCTTATGATGTAAAAGTAAAGAGAAACAACTTAATTCTGGAATGCTTACTAAGTTTATTTTAATGAAGATATTGATTACTTATTCCCTTTGTCTTTAAATCAGATGTGAACTTTTTTGGAGTGCAATTTATTTTATCCATGTTACAAGTGTTGAGATCCTCAGTTATAAATATAATTAGTTAGACCTGGTTTGTGGAAATGTGAAATTTAAAACCCAAGTTGCGTTGAACTTAAACTGAGTGATATTATATTATACTTCATAGTACTTATAGTATATCACTATAACTTATAAGTACTATTATAATAATGTAACTTGTAGCAATAACAAACAAGTACTAAGTTTAAAAGTAATATTTAATATAATTCAACGTTAAAATTCATCATGGCACTTGAATCTGATGCACAGTTTGAGCAAGATCGATTGGATGGTATGTTACTGTTATTCACTTATTTGATATTTGCTAGTAGTAGCAGTAATCTAGTATAGTATTACTACTACTTGTAGTAGTATAAACGTATTAATGTAGTTTACTCTGTTCAGTACTATTAACAATATAAGTTGAAAAATACGGACAGCAAAAGGACTGATAGGTTCTTAAAAGCTCTCCCTCCACACAAACCTTTGAGAAAAAAAGAAAAAGTGTGTGTTCATGTGTATATATACATATATATATATTAGCAGTTTTATCGTCTGTTGTCTGAATATAGGACAGTCCTCACCTACATAAGTTAGCTTTCCATTTCCAGTGTCATCCTATTAGTATCAACTCTGGACAGTAATAAATAACTTATTAAGTCAGTATGCTTTCTTACGTAGAGGCCAAAACTGTACATAGTGTTCCATATGAGACCTTTTGTAAAGAAAGAATTACTCCATTTTATTGAATAATATGTCTATAATAGTAAATCCACACAACAATTTATAAGAATAATGAAAAGGTCATATTTTTAGGGAACATATTACCACATATTTCAACAGAATATTTGTCCGTCTTCATAAAACCACTTCATTATGCTTATATTGTGAGGTTATAAAGTGTTGTCTGTAATTTACCAGTTCATTATGCTTATAAACCATTGTCTGTGAATTTACTATTATATTAGCAAAATGTGCTTCCATTCATAAGAATGTGTGTATAAATGCACATTTGCATTATTAGTTTTGCTACTAGCAACAGAATACTACCTTGATTGCTTGAATGACTTAAATACACCTGTGACAAAATCCTTTTCTTCAATCATGCTGTTGAGTGGGTTCTCATCTGTATTAAATGTGTGATTGAATTATGACAGTCCAAATGCACGTACTGTATAATTAAAGACATTTGTCAAGTATTTGTCTCACTAGCCCATTGATCCAAGTCATTCTGAAACACCTCAGTCTCCTTTATACAGCTAAACGTATCCATGTTTAATGCCATACATAAACTTACTTTGCTCTATAGCACTAGTAGGGCTGATAATTATATTTGCTCTGCACACATACCCTATTCAGATCTGTGTGACAGCCTAATGCAAAAAAAAATTCCTTTGATATTTCAAGAAATACTAATATGAATTCAACAAAACACATCCCTAATACAAATATAAACTTACACATCTGAGTTGGCTATGTTTTTGCAATGAAACAAGAGGTCTGAAACACTTAAACCTCATTATATAATATTACAGTTTATACCATCTGACATGTGACTCGCATAACAGATATTTTAAAATAACAGTTTAAAGCAACCTAATCCAGTACTTTACTGCACAAAAAAAAGTCGCATAATCTACACATGTAACTTTTAGGAATGAAGAAAGAAGTTGGTCGTAAATTCAGAACACCATTTCTGTTTTATGACCAAAAGAGATGGCAACTGAAAGTTAAAAGGGAGTTAGGAATAACCTATAAGGAAATAGAGATGCAGTCTCTTTGTGTTCTAATGCAGCATACTTTGTCATTTTACAGACAGTTTATGGAAGAGTGACATTTTTACATTGTTAATAAGCTGTTCAAACTACATTATTAGTGGGTACAAAGTTACAAAAGTTCTATCAACAAAACTAAAAGAAAAACAACTCAAAGCCAGTATTTATTATTTAAATATTTGTTAAGCCTTCCTTTAAACGTGATGCGTCAACAACATCTGAAGACAACCCATTTCGAAAGCTAACTACCCTGTTAAAAAAATATAACTTGTATAAAGATGACTGCTACCATGCCAAAATTTATATAGGTGTCTCAAAGCCATACTGTTCTCATCATTAAGTATTGCTTTCAATTCCCTTAATAATCTTAAAACTCTTTAACTCCTTTCTCTCAAAGAAAAATTTTAAAAGATTATAACCTTTCCTTGTATGGGAAGTTTTCCAACCCAGGTATTATCCTAGTAGCCCTCTTCTGAACCTATGCTATAAAAGTTTAACCTCTGTAGACTTGTTCAGTATTTTCACTACTACAAGCAACATCACACTGTATGAGTGGCTGAAGAGACTGATCAACATCACACTGTATGAGTGGCTGAAGAGACTGATCGACATCACACTGTGTGAGTGACTGAAGAGATTGATCAATTGATTTTTTTTGGTTTCCAGAAAGGTATAAGTAGTCCACAATAAGTAATTTAATAAGGTCAACAAATTCGTTGTTTTAAATTTTTAGTTAGCTTGCAGTTGTAGCAAATAAGTTAAAAATTCGAAACTTTATTATTTTAAGTTTTGAAAGTTACAGAAATGGCAAAAACTGCATCATTGAAATTCATGTAATACAAGAGCTGAAAACAGGTATGTGGTGTGGAGATGCTTTGCTAAATGAAAAGGTCAAATTATGTATTGAAGTATATATGTATATATAGAGAGTAAATTTTATTTTCATTTTCAGATATCATGAATCTTGTCAACCCTTTGAATGACTTGGAAAATCCATCACCTGGTTTTTGTGATTCAGACTTACTGAGTTTATTTGACTCCCATTACCCTTCCTTGAAGGTACTTGAAGAAGAAATGCATCCAGATTGGATAGGATCAGTAGCGGATTCTCAGATAGATGTTTCACATCAGAACAATCCACAGATTACTTTCCCTTCTATAAGTAATCAGTTGTCCAGTTTTAACACACCATTATTACAAGAAGCTCGGCAAACAAACACTGTCAACACAGATCAATTTTCCCATGAGATCCAACCTCATACACTTGGGGATAAGATGACATCTCTCATCAACTTTGATCCGAACAGTCAAGCTCAAACTTTAATTGTAGATGCTAAACCGTCAGTTGCAGTGACAAATCAGTCACACTCATCTCTAGCTCAGCAAGTAAATATGTCTCACCTAAGCCAAGTCAATGTTCCTCAAGGTGTTCTTGTCCAGCCTCTTAACCAGATCATCACTTCAGTGTCTCAGGCACGATTGAATCAGAGTACTGTAGCACAAAGTGCAACTATTGATGACATAGTTGCTGCACTTAAAGCACAAAAGAAACAGCAATTGCTACAGGAACTTAGTCACCTTCCAACCCAAAAAGTTCAACAGGTAAGGCAATCACACAGTAATTGTAAAATAGTGGTAGGTGAAGGGGTGTGAAATCTTTGGAAAAACAAAAAACTTATTGTAGAAGGGCAAAATGCTAGAAAAATCTACTTACCCCCTCACCATCCCACAAAATAAAGTCCCGATGTAGGATTTTGCTGTACCCATCCAGTCGGTATTAGAGAGATGTGAAGTTAAAGAATAATAACAAAATAGAGAATGAAGATAACCTCACACTAAAATAGGTCCCTTTTTTTTGTAGAGCACTAAAAATAACATTTTGATGAGAAGGTCTTCATCTGAAAACAATAAATGATCAGTTATTGATTATTAATAATTTTTGGTTAATGAAAGCAAATAAAGAAAATAATTTTATGTTTACTTACTGATGATTTATATACAAGTTACAATTGTAACTAGTTTTATATAATATAAAGAAAATGTAATAGACTCCAAACATACTAGCCAAAACTTAACGCATCTGATTTTTCTGCATGACACATAGCAAAACAAACAAACAAACTTTTCTTTCCTTTTTTTTGTTCATGCAAGTTGTTTTCTTTGCCATAGCTATTGATGAATCGCTTGTTTACTAATGCAGTCATGCATGCATAAAGTCGGATGGAAGGATAACTTCCTGTTTGTGATAAACCTCTTCCTACTAAGTATGGTGGTTGTTATTAGTTAGGATCAGTGTCTAGATTGTTTATTTCATGTTAATTTCTGAAATGGCTCATTGAAACAACCGATCAAAAGGGATAGAATATCTTTCAATGATGAATGTGAGGTACTCTGAAAAACCAGCTGTCACTGGCATGCAAGTGCAGGACCCATATTTGTTTATATATGGTTGGATTGATGGTTTTACAATTTGGCCAGACGTGTAGTATGATGAGATATATATAATTACTTCGTAGAATTTTCAGGACAGATTACACATAATAGTATGAGGGCATACAAATCACTTTTAGCATAATATTTTTATTGCTGTTTATGTTGGCCCCATTTTATACAGATCCATAGAGAATATTGATGCATGTATTGTGAAAATGCATGTAAGAGCCAGTCAAACAGTTGATAAGAACCATCACGCTTAGGTTTTACTGAATAAGAAAGATGGCATTGTTTATTCAGGACACTGCATTTGCAAAACAGGGTAAGTTTCTCTCAGAATTTACATTTTTAAAAAGTTTTCATAATTTTGGTTAAGATTATGTCAGTGGTATTTCATGATGTCAATAATATTTGTGAAACCTATTTTAGACTTGAAGAAGCTTGCAGTCTTATAGCTGCTTTACTGTTTAGAATGGAGGCTTGTATTCGACTAAGAACTCATGCACTAATGTCGCATGTGCTCGGAAAAATTCATCAAAGAAGGTAATGTGTTAATGAAGATTTAGCTGATGGTATTATTATATTCTTTAATCCATTAAATAGTTGATTTTTTTATTAAATAATACCAATAAATATTTCATCTAAAATGCTATGTAGAATATTTCTTATTAAAGTAGTATTTTATTTTAAGAATTACATGTTCAGAAATGTGTTTTATTAAACTTTACATTAAATGAATGTTTTATAAGTGTATAAAAGGAAAAGGGGAGATTGTGAATCTGAGGAATTTATTGTAATTTTAGAATTAGGCTTACATTTTTTCCTTGTCTCCATGAAATGTATTTGTAGAACATCAATTTTCAGAGTGTATGTATTTCAGATTGAGTCATCGGTAGTACAGAAGATCAACTTCACTTGTCCAGAAAAAAAGTCTTTCTTTGGTTCACAGGCAAAAAAATGCAAGTTCAGTAATATGTTTGTTTATTGCCTTGGTGCTGATTCACAGAAGGAGGCTCTTATTGAACTAAAGAAAATATATCCTACAGTTACAATATTCACATTATATAAATGTAATTTCGAAACTGTTAGTGCTTCTGAAGGAGAGGATGAGAACTTTTTTTTTCTCATCTGATTACAGACCTTTATGATCCCCTGTGGGCTACACAGTCTCCTGCTAAATTATCAAATGTGATACACATTATTACTCTTGATTATAAATGTTCAGCAAATGAGGTAAGAAAAGTTGGAACTGATTACGATGAGACAATCAGTATCATCCTTATGGTTTTAACACAGAAATGGCTGAATTACTGTTTCTAGGGCTCACCAGACTTACAGATTCAATGAAACTGGATTCCCAAATTCAATTCTCAAGGAAATATTTGAAACTAAAAAATCTAATGCTACAAACTTTCCTTCATTGTCTTGAAGACTGCAACATGAAGAAGAAGTAACAAACACATTTATGAATGAAATGGTGAAGACCCATGAAAATGCTATGTGTATTAAAAATAGTTTAATATTAAATCTACATTATCCTTTTTTTTGGGGGGGGGGGCACTAGATGGACACAGTGAATGTAAATGTCATAGTAAAGGAATTATAGAATTATATTCAAGGAGAAATATAACTCAAGCATGTGAACTTCTAAATGATTACCGTATTAGTAGCAATTATGAACTGAGGAGAGTTCATCATAGATACTCCACTCTAATCCAAGTGCAGATGAAAGTACATTGAGTATACTGACTTCATAATGTGGGCTCTTAATGTATGTATTATTCAAGCAATAATGTTTAATGAAGACTTTGTAAGAGATATTTTCAAAAAGTGTAATGCATTCCTTTATAGATACATCTTACCTGTTTTGGTTTCAAACCATGATTTTGCAGTAGTATATAAAGTAGAATTAATTTTCACTTGTAGAAAACCTTCATTTAGAAAAAATTATTATGTGTTCAAATGTTGAATGCAAAATTTTCAAGTATCATTATGGTTGTGTAAATTTAAAAAGAAGACCCAAGAGGTGGTTATGTGCTGTGATCATTATGCTGTACATAATTACATCAAAACTAGTGCAGGTTCATAAATTATAGAACCCCAACCATTAAATTTTCATAACTTAATTAGCTTTCTGAGATAGATCAGTCACAGTGTATTTTTTGTTACATTATCTTATAAGTGATTTGAAATGGAAATTTCCTGGAATAAATGTGTATCTATTATATCGTTCAAATAAATATATTCAGAAAATCCTCTGTGAATGATTATGTAACATAGAAAAAAATAAAAAATTGATTTGAAAAATGGCTTTATTGTTCCTTATTAACCATGAATAATGACTACATTGTTAACAACTGTTTGCATATATTGCAACTTTATTAATGATTTGTTACTTTATGTGCAATATAAATAAATACATTTCTATCCATAATTATTATTAATGGGCTTCTAACTTGAACATATGAAAGTACTGGAATCTAGTTTTTCCATTTGGCTACAAGTTTTTATTGTAAGTTTGTCAAAGAAGCACAAATAATGAGGATGTTACTTACATGGTCTATCAAAGTTCCTTAGAATCCTGAACACATTTAGTCTTCGAATTACTCTTTCAACATGAATTCTGACTCTTGCAAGTTGTCTAGAATATTCAATATCTTTTGCATTTAATTGCATTTTACCTCTTGTAAAATTAGGTTTGGTTAGAATAGCTCCCAGTATGGCAAGTTCCTCTTCAGTAACAAAGGCATGATCAGCCATAACTTGATTCCCATATTGAATTTTGTTTAGGAGACCGGATTTCTTTGTGAGTTTTTTATCAGATACATGTCCACTCCTTGCCTTAGACACAAATGAAACTGTACCAATAGGGCTGATATCTATAAATATTTTGTCTTGTGATGTTTATAGTTGCTGTATGTTACAGCTCTGGCATTTAATCCTTTGTACATTCAATGAATGTTTCAGAAGTCAGTTATCACTCAACATTTGAGATAGAACTTTCCAAAATATATTAGGAGGTTTTGACTAACTTTTTGAGAAGGTCAGTGGATCAAAGATTTAAGATTTTTAGCTGTAATGGGTAAATCAAATTTAAGAATTTTGTATACATTATGAGATGGTTTGTTGAATCTAATTGCCAAGTCATAGTTTAGTAAATTTAGTTTCAGTCAATGAAAATAAAAATCTGATCTCTCTGAGATAAGAATTTAAAATCAGCCATAAGAGGAGACAGCAAATGTATTAACCATTTGAAAGCAGTTGAATGTAGACTTGTATATGTGTAAATTTTAATGATGCTATGTTCTGATTTAAGAACATTATCAACAGTATTTATGATTCTCTTTGATGCATAATTTTCATTTTATTATTTCCTCTTGCTGCCTTTGTAGTTCTTGAGGTAGCTTCTTATTCTTTACATGAAGGTTGTCATTTATGGGCAAAATATTTACTTCACTGTCTACTTTTCGGACTATTTTCACATGAAAAGATGGGAAGTTTGAAAAAACCAAAAATTGCTTTATTAATTGAAACTTAAAGTTTATTAGCATTTTAATAGCATGTGATGGAAGAACATCAAATGGAATAATTTTATAAATTACAATAGGCATTGTCCATTAACTACAGAAGTATGATGCTACTAGTTTGACATGTATACTTCTATAACAATTGTGTACTTTGTCATGATATAAAAGACTGTTTGGTTTAAATAATAGTGATTAATTTAGTTTTGTGTGTGAATATATTTATTATTTTGAAGTTTTGTTAAATAGTTAAAAGCAGATGATTGTAGAAGGTTTTGTTAATAATTAATTGGTGTCGAGAATATAGAAAGTGATCTGATGACTATGTAATAAAGATATAAATA